TAGAGACGGTCCAGGTCTTTCCTTAACATGATGACGTGACGACGATAACGATGACGATGACGATGACGATGACGATGATGACGACGACGGTGATGATGATATGAGCACAGCCATCATAAACTTCCCATGTGCGCTACTCATAGCTGCAGCATGCACACACACAGACACGCAGAAGTAGAGGACAGTGGCTCCACACTACCGCGTGTACAACTCATTCTAACATGTTCGCTTCATATCCCAGATTAATAATAACAATCACCATCTGTCACACGTTTGTACTTACAACACTGACCCCGTGCATACGAATAACTTTCACCCAAATGTTATAGTTATGGTGTATGATTATATAACTATAGAGTCCCAGTTCCCTACTATGCCATAGAAGAAGAAAATGCTCTTGCCTTCATACCGAGTTGATACATGCAATGTAAAATCACCTAATACGTTGTAAATCAGAGGTGCATTACTAATTCCCAACTTTGTACTCGAATCAGGCACGTGAAGCATGTGCACACAACTTAAAATAACGCAAAACAAGTTTTAATTGTAGAGCTTAATTAGAGCTAATGCATAATTGTTTGGTAAACATTCACATTAAAATTAAACTATACAAAACTAGCTTCAAGACAAACATGTATTCAAAAAATTATTACTATTATTGGGTAAATTTGTTCCTCGTATATATATATACATGCATGTATATATATAACACATAAATATACACACACATATATAAAGTTTACCATATGTACATTTGGTAATATTATGAACATATGTATAGAACATTTATTACATATGTGCACAGTAATATATCCTGCCACACTCTCCCCATTTTCAATTTACTATATTTATTACATAGATTTAGGCGCTGCATAATATACATTAAGCGATAATATATGTACATGCTGTTACGAATGTTAGTGTGTAAGTGTGTTACGTACACAACTTAATGATTTCCAACATTACTGTGTGACACTTGAGAGAAACCAGAGATCATAACCTATCCCCAATTTGATCACAAGTTTACAAACAGCATTCTCTAATAACCATTGCTTTCCACTGTGCACACACAATTCACCACTAATATAGGGCACCACTATAAGGTACCATCACCACCTGTAGTAATCTTGCATTGTCGCATTGCGTATACACTTAACATGCATTATTGCATATCATTGTGTATTTTTTTATCCACCTTCTGTAATCAAACAGCTGTTTCCTGCCTCCACACCACAATTCTCAAATAAATACGTGGTTGGAAAATTTACTTATAGCACCACCAGATGGCGTAACCTTCCACACACATCAACGATCTGGGATCTTTCAACAGCTTTCAAGTAAAGATCAGCATTTCATTCATCTCTGCATAGATTTCGCTGCAGACTAGGATATTTATGCACGCAAGCACGCAATCGCGTACATTGAACTATAGCCAAACGTCAACAAATCTTCGCATAACAGGAAAACAAAAGAACAGACCGCCCAAATATTTATTCCTCATTCATTCATCACCGGATTCGATCTTTGCTATGCTGTACCCTAGCTTGCTATCACCAATATCCACTCACCCTACACGATCGCATCCACCGATGCATGAAATTCTATTATTAAATAATTCTATACCGCTTCAACCCATCGCCCCAGGAAAGGTTTACAGCTAGATATCCACGCGGACCCATCCCCGAATCCCGTATGCATCCGTAACGATGACTAACACGAATCCGGTTTTTGAGAATGGCGCAGCGAGCGATCGAGTGATCAATCGGATCGATTGTTTATCGATTCGAATCGATAGCTATCAATTGATTAACCGCATCAACAGGTTACACGTCTGTAGAACAAACACGATGAAACCATGGAAACTCAACCCGACAACATCGCGCATGCGCCGTGAGATCAGACGCACGCATGCATTTCGTACGTTCATTTCCGTTTATGATTATCGTCATAAATTGCGCGTAAAGTTGTGTTCCGACGGGCCGGCTTTAGACAGGATGCGTCACAACATCGATCACAAGGCCCAAGGCGAGCGGGGTGGGTAACCGTGCTTGCTTGCTTTGTTGCTGCGGACTACCTCGCATCGTAGCCAATAGCCTTGGATCTACGTGCGTGACGTCATCATCTAACTATCGTATTAAAGGAGATCGGGGTAGAGATAAAATGTTTCGCTATTGTTGTGTGTTGTATGTAGATTCTGGCCCGTGACGTTGCGAAAGTAGAAGTGAATCATGAAGTTGGTACAGAGGAATATGTTTAGTTAATGAGAATATCTTTAGTTGCCATCCCATCAGTGGTTTACATAGTTGTTCATGAACCTAACTTTAGACTTTGTTCTACCTGTGTAGCCTGTCGATGAGTAGCCTTACCTAGCCTGCCGATGTGTAGCCTTACCTATGTAGCTAAGGGCTACACGGGTATCACAGACAACACAGCGGCGAATCTAAGATACAGTCAAGAGCTACTTATAGCCTTTGTTATTAGCCTCTAGGTAATATTACTAGCACCTAATATTAGCTAATATCAGTAGTAAGTATTATTAGTTCTTGATACAGTTGAAATCCGTTGAGGTGTTTAATTCACATCATGTATCAGTTCTTCTCTCTTTATAACTAAACTTCTTAACCCCTTCTCATTCTATTAACGTTGATTTTAGTCGAACGTTTTAAAGGTAATTTGTTAAAGTGAAAAGAAAAAAATTACTAATGTTCTTATAAGTTTATCGAAAGACAAAAACATGATCGACTCTCGATTAAAGGTTACTCAGTTCTCGTTCTACTGTCGAGAGATCTACTAATACCAGGACAAATGTCTTTATTAACTCCTGCTAATACTGGACTATATTGTGCGCATAAGGCGAACATTCCTCTACACGGCTGCAACACTGCACCACTCACTCACTGCGGCACCTTTCACCTGGATTAAGGTTGGCTCAACCTGGTGAACACTGGACGCGGGAAAGACGGGTGCAACCAATTTTAAGTTTTCCGAAGTTTACCGAGGTTTCGTGAGAGTGTGAGTGTGCGCGTGTGTGTGCATAGTTTGGCCAGGTCGTACGACACAACGACGGCCATTATTCTAAGTAACACACATGTTGCTTTTTTGATTCTAGCCTCGCAACTCTTACTTTATTGTGTGCGCACTCTTAAACTCTACACACGCGCGTACTCACGCACTGCCGCACAACGCGCAACGACGCCACACGCGCAACACGCACACACGCGCACCACTCAACACCCAGATCACGCACAACCGCGCACGCACACACACACACACACACACACACAGGGGACTGTTCAGCACGAATCTATGGCAGTGAACCCGTGAGTGGACGGAGATGCGGCAAAGCGGCGGCATGACTGTGTCAGTAGAGACACATATGCAACACACGCGCACACACACATAGCCGGTCCATTGATACGATGCCCTACATTCTTCACACGGCAGCCGCAGTCGCCAAGCTCACTGACGTCTGCTACTGAGCGGAGATCGCTGCGGGGGAGGGGGGAGAGGGGAGGGGAAGGTGGAGGAGGGTGGAGGTGGGAGACGCATGCCTGAGCCGACACACCGTAGCATCATACGTGCGTGGTGATGGCAGGTAGGGAGGGGGAGGCGGCAGGGGGGAGCCTTTTGTGTGTGTAGCATGGTACGCGGTGCGGGCGGCGGCGTCACATCGTATAGAACTGTATATCGACGGCCGACTTGTGACTGAGAAATATGCGATTATTATGAGTGAAATGTTCAATACAGTGTATATATATATATACGTAATAGATAGACGCACATAATAGATACACCTCGTATAATGTAGACATAATGTATACAGGTACTAACATATATAACCTACAAGGGTCTATACCGCTCTTGATATAATAGATACAGACATACCAGAAACAAACATATACCAGAAACAAACATATAATAAGTATAAACATATAATAAATATAAACATATACAATGTAAAAACACATAGCAGAGACAAAGATAATAATAAGTGTAACAATAGAAACAAACATATAACAGATACAATAATAATACTATGTTTGTATTTGCATCTATGGATACACAAAGACTATAGCTTGAAGATTCTGTTAGTTGAAACAATATGACCCCGTGTTGAACATGAGTGGTGACAACGTACGTCATGTGTATTCTAGACAGGATAACAAAACACTGCAGACAACGGCCTGGTTATAATAACAACCCTTATTTGTAGGGTTACGCATTTGCGTTGTGGAAATACAAACACACAAACACGCCCGTATGCGCCACAGGCACTTGGAGCGTTTCAATAAAATATAATGCTAAATACATACGAAATCTATTTACTACCAAAGTCTTAATGTTTCAATACTCTCTTTCACCTATTATTGTCGAAAATTTTCTGTAAATGCCGTCTAAATTAATGCTCATCTACAACAAACACTGGCTGCCGCCATTGCTGCAGCTGCACACTGACACATAAATATATATTTATGTATATTTTTATGTACTATATATTTATGTGTCAGTGTGCAGCGGTAGCAATAGCGGCAGCCAGTGTCTGTTGTAGATGAGCATTTGGACGGCATTTACAGGAAATTGTCGGCAATAATAGGTGAAAGAGAGTATAGAAACCCTAAGACTTTAATTGGTAGTAAATAGATTTCGTATTTATTTAGCATTATATTTTATTGAAACGCTCCAAGTGCCTGTGGTATGCGCACTCATTCGCGAATACACACGCACTCGAGTGAACACACGCGCGCACGCACACGCTCACAAACACGCACACGCGCACGCATACACATACAAATACGCACACGCGCGTGCACACACAATACAAACACACACACACACGCGTGCGCACACACATACGAACACGCACATACGCGCGCGCGCATGGTGACTTCACACCTGAACATTTAACGTTGACCGCCAACATAAAGCAGTGAAAACTACCAAGCAGTTGAACTTACCGGTTAGTTTTGCTCGTAGATCAATGTGAGAATCCTTCAGGCTTGATGCTCTCACGTACCGCACACCGCAGGACGAGATATGAGAGAGCGCGGAGTAGACCGATGATAGCACGGTGACAACAACAACAACAGCAACAGCAGCAGCAGCAGCAGCAGCAGCTCCGGCCGTCAGTGAGTGACTGACGTTACAGATAACTGGATCCTCTCTCCTCCATCTCTCCACACCGATGCCTCAGGCAGACGAGACCCGTCAGGGTGTAGCGGTGAGAGCCGGCAGGGAGGCGCTGACACGCGACAATGAGTCACGTCTGTGCGTAGCTGTGTGTTTAGTCGCATCTGTAGGTATACACGTAATCTGTTACGTGGTACTGTCTGGCAGACAGCGGCGGCTCAGCCCACGGCAGGTGGAGAGGGGGGATGCATGGTGAGCTCAGACGACAAGGAAGGTCTCTCTCTCCTTCTCTGTCTCTCTCTCTCTCTCTCTCTCTCTCTCTCTCTCTCTCTCTCTCTCTCTCTCTCTCTCTCCCTCTCTGTCGGTCTCTCTCTCTCCCTCTCTGTCTGTCTGTCTCTCGCCCCTCTCGCTCTGTCTGTCTCTCTATCCCTCTCTGTCTGTCTCTCTCTCCCTCTCTGTCTGTCTCTCTCTCCCTCTCTGTCTGTCTGTCTCTCTCTCTCTCTCTGTCTGTGTCTCTCTCCCTCTCTGTCTGGCTCTCTCTCCCTCTCTGTCTGTCTCTCTCTCCCTCTCTGTCTGTCTGTGTCTCTCCCTCTCTGTCTGTCTCTCTCTCCCTCTCTGTCTGTCTGTCTCTCTCTCTCTCTCTGTCTGTGTCTCTCTCCCTCTCTGTCTCGCTCTCTCTCCCTCTCTGTCTGTCTCTCTCTCCCTCTCTGTCTGTCTGTGTCTCTCCCTCTCTGTCTGTCTCTCTCTCCCTCTCTGTCTGTCTGTCTCTCTCTCTCTGTCTGTCTGTGTCTCTCCCTCTCTGTCTGTCTCTCTCTCTCCCTCTCTGTCTG